CCGGAAAAAGGTTACAAGCCTACACAGATCTTAGAGCTAACCAGGCTGCTTCCCTTGAAGTTTGTAACGATAACCATCCATAATGGTAAAAAGCAACAGCTCCACCTGAAGCTTGCCACTGGCCGCTCTTTTTACCTTCAGCTGTGTCCCCCTTCCAACACAAGAGATCTTTTTGTCCACTGGGAAAACCTCGTTTACATTCTGAGACCACCAGTAGAGGCTTACAGTGGTTCCCAGGCCATCCCAGTTGGGAACACACTGGACATAACTGGGTTTGAAGAGAAGAACAAGAGCCCAGGGGTAAGTCTGCTCAAAGACTCTAAAAGATGGGGGCAGAGTGCTGAAGGAGAAGAGATGAAAGTCCTGCAGAGCCATTGGTACTGAGGCTTACCTAGAAAATGCATTGCATGTAGATGGTTCAGGGCCACAAGAGCCTCCATTTGTAGGCCATGTCACATTGGGGAGTGCTCCAGAGTGTTCCCCAAGGCTGTATTTCAGAGCTTCCTTAGCTTCCTTAACTCTTAATTTCATATCCAATACTGTGTCGCCATGTGTGGCATCCTGACCATCTATTCTTGAACATACACTGCTACATCCAGGTAGGCTGATACGTTGTGGGATGTAATCCCTCTACCGCCATGTACTGATTTTGCATACATCAGTGGCAGAGGGATGTGTTTGTGTGCATGTTTAGTAGCGTAGTGCATACCACTTGGCCAGCAGAAATACTAACATAAGGGTATAAAAAGTAGTCTATGAGGATATTCACTGGTGAATTATAACAGTGCTCTCACTGGCACTGGAATTGTATGAGCAAAACTGGAATGATCATCATGGTCATTGTAGAGATACTAAAGAGGGGAATTCCTGCAACAAATGGGAGATTGGATTGAGACCTCAAAATTCTTATCATAAGCCCTTGTTGTTTAGCTATAGGAATAAAAGAAACAGACCTTTCTGCCCTCACTTTCTTTATTTCACTTGTTTGTCTTCCCCCACAGGCAAATGTCATTCATGTCTATGGAAGGGATCAAGATCAAGTTGGCATCAAGACTCTTCACATGAACCCTACAGTGTTTGGGACCACCTATTATGGTTATGCTGGGGAGGAATGAATTCATCAAGCCTCCCACACATACTGCATTCAAGAGTTCACATACTTCTGCAGTCACAAAGCCTATAGCATTTGATAAAAGGGCAGGGATGGCGACAGGAGCAGCCTTTACAGATCCAGGAGGAAGCACAGCTAGAATAGCCACAATGGGTGCATTCAACATGTCTTAATACTATTGTTAGCAAGGGCTGCAAGCCTTTCTTGTCTTGAGAGGGTACTTCCAGCACATCAGTAGGAGATACTGGCCTCTTCCCAGAGGGCAGAATAAATATGGTGATTCCAAGAACAGAAACTACTGGCAAGCCCATTGCAAAGGCAGCTAACAGCTCAGTATTGGGACCCTTTATTACAATCTTGCAGAGTGAAGGCTACATGAGTGAACAGGATGGAAGTCAGAGACCTCCACTCAGCAGAATTGACTCTTTCGGAAATAGCTTCAAAGTCCTATACTGCACGTGGTGCAGAGATGGACACCTTATCCAAGACTGTGGAGGAAAGAAATATCACCCACCCTAACACAATTCGACTCAGATTCTCTGCTCTAATGACATATGCTCTGTTAATAGGGAAAGGTAGTAATAAAAACAAATGGCAATTTATTATCAGGCTCTGAACTATCTTTAACTTCCTCTTAACTTGATATTTGTGATTACATGCAGATGACAGAATAAAATGTTTAAGATTACTCTCAGAGACCCTCCTCCATTTATCATCAATATGTATTCACCAAAAAAAAGCCTAAAATTTACTAAATACATAACCAAATGCACAAAAGCAAATGATAGTGATGATGATGATGATGATGATGATGATGATGATGATGATGATATTATTGTCAGGCATGTTGAAAAACTAATTATACTTTACAGAAAGAACTTCATTTCCTCAGTCTCTTTATTCTTGTTCTTTGCCCAACTTAAATATTATTTAACTGCTTTGAAATTATACTAAAGTACCCAATATATTCTATAAGTCTTTAATTCCTTGATGTTATTTAAAATTCTAAATTTCTTGAAATTTTTACAAGAAGCAATTCCTTTTAAATTCTAAAACTTAGAATTCTAAATAACATCTAGTCACAATGGAAGGATAAAATGCCGTATTAAAACTAGAAAAACAGAAAAATGAGCTGAATAAAAGCTCAATTTAAAATCTAGACAAAAACTGGAGATTAGATCATCTTAGAAGTGTAAGATCTACAGGATCAGCCAATGTTCTAATTTTTGCAAGTAAAAAATCTATTTAAGACTCTAAAAGTAATACATCACATAGTTTTAATTAAGTCTGTATTTCCATAATCCTCATGTTTCTGAAGCTTAGCACCATGCTTTGAATGAAGAAGATATTTGACACATATGTGCTGGATCCAATTAAATTAAGGGTTATAAATGTGAAATAAATATATATTATTCGAATCCAAAAGTCTGGGTATATGGAAATTTGCATAGCAGCATACTAATTCCACTGATCCCAAAGGCTCCTACACAAGACTGTAAGGTAATGGTTTTCCATGAGGCCTTAAAAATCATTAAGCCAAGCACTGTGCATAAGAGGCCTCATTTTTTGATGACCCCTCACTATATTTAAATAATTTAAATGATTTTTAATCATTTATTATTTAATAAAATCACAAATATTTAAATATTTAAATGACTTTAATGACCATACACACACAATATTTCAGGTCTGGAAAAAAACAGCTTCAAAATAAAATCCTGTTATTCATGAAATTTATGAAGATTTTTAATTTTGAAGCTGGCCTGGAAAATCCTGAGTTCAAAGCTATTGCAAGTTGTAGGATAAATTTACATTTGATATGTCTCCAATGTCACGAGAAATGTATTAAATTTTATCGTAAATACATAACATATGTTAAAGGAGAGTCCACCAACAAAGTGAAAACATTAGAAGTCCAGACGAGAATATTAGTAAAAGAATTCTACTTTTGATTCATTATATTAAATACAGTAAAAAAAAAAAAAAAAAGATACTACATTTCAAGTAAATTTATAGATGTGATGCAGTAACAAAATACCAATAAGGATACTTTTATAAAATATACATTTTTAACAGCAGACAATCATGTCAGCTAAATAATGCAATCAAGATTTCTCCTGCCATGCATTATATGTAAAAATATCAAAACTGAGTCATGTGGTTTTAAAAATAGGACAACAGAAATAAGAGATTTCAGAAGAACACCCAAGCCAAACACAATGCGATATAATGAGAGGAATGAGAGTTATCTCTAGATAAGGTGAATTAAACAAAAAAATAAGACTAAGAAGTTTAATGAACTTGATAGTTTGAAAAAGTACACAGAATACACTCACACACACAATGTAAGGGGGCAAAAGCCACAGCCTGGGAAACATTTTGCAGTAAATGTAACTACTAAATATTAGTTGCCAGTCTTCACAGGAAAATGGCCAAATAAAAGTATCCAGTAATAAAAAAATTGTAAACCAAAATCAAGTTACTACCAACCCTACTACCAAGCCTAATAAAATGAAAAAAATAAATGTTTAGGAAGGTGGTAGAGAAGGAAATTCTAGTCATATATTATTGATGGCTTAGAGCCCTAATACTTTATTTTATGAAACAGAAAAAAAAGAGATAAAGGCACTCAATTTACTGGTAAACGTTAAGCAGATAAGGTTATATTAATAAAATAAAACCAATGTTTCTTGCTGTTCTTTCTCCTATATCTTTATAGATATGATCTTTACGTGATGAAATGAAAGCATCGAACATACACATTGTTCATTGTTTTACTAATTATTAATACTGACAATATGTCAGGGACTACGGCCTTAGAAACAGATATTAAGCAATACATAGTCTCTACCATTATGGAACTCATAGTCCAGTATATATTGATAACAATTCTGATTCAGATTGGATTAGGATACTGTCTTAAAGTCTTATAAATAGTTCGTGTTAAGATGAAGAGATTCTTTAAGTACTATATGCTGATTTGATTATCTCCATAATAAATTTATATGGGACTTGAGTGGCTATGATCAATTTGTGACATAAGACATGAAAAATATGATTTTTTTCTTGGACACAATTGCTTCTACTTGTTGCAAAATAGAATATAGTATTTTTGAAATTTAACACTATCTTGGACAATTACTGTGAATTATTTTCTGTCCTAGACTGTTTTTCCACCTATGCACTAAGTAGTTACACATACATACCTTTACCATTACACTGTCTTTTGTATTAAGTGTTTTTTCGTATTTTCATTGTGGCTTTAAATTTCCTAACTCTGGTTAATTTTACTTAATTCTCAAATTCCTCCAAAGACTTGTGGTACAAAACATAAATAGGAATTTGAAGGTGATACAATAGAATAAAATTGACTTAATGAATCATGAGATGATTTCAAAATTATAGTCAATGTTTTTAGTGTTCTGGTATCATTTTGGATTGTACTACATAATCTTCAGTGGGAAACATTATTCTACAATGTTTAATTGTGCTAAAAAATTAAAAACCACTGACAATGCTTTTAAAGAGCCCCAATATGTTTCCTTGTAAATAATTTTTATTATTTTAATAAAACTTATAATTTGAAAATAGCATTCCTTAAAATGAGCTATTTCTAGATCATAAATATGAAAAACCTCATAAACAACTCAATTTTTCTGGAAGTAGCATCATGATCAAAATAAACCCACCACATAAAATGATGTAAAATATGTATTTGCATATGCATACATGTACAGCAAGTTAGATAAACATCTTACTGACCTTTAAACGAAGAAAAATTACAGGGTGAATAAGATAGTAATTGGATTTCCAGGAACGGAGAAAAGATTTCCCTAAAAACATAAACTATTTGGTGTTTTATTATATCTTAAGAAAAGCAAACTGTTACCTGTGCAAGAATTGGGAAGCCAAGGTTCCTACATCCATTACAAGGAGTTAATGCTTCCCAGAGTCCTGAGGGCCCACAAGTGTTTTCATCATCATCATCTTCTTCCACTTCTCCTGGTGACAGATTTATTGTAGATGAAGTCCTCTGAAATTAAATGTATATTATACCAATATATTATATCAATGTTATTTAGATATCTTAATATCAATTAAATTACATTAATTTCTTATAGTGTATGTTAGCAAGCAAAATCAGCTTAATATTCACCATAGTTATGTGGCTATGCCATGTGACTAACCAAAAACCATGCATAATTCAACCTGAATGTTTAAAAAAATTGAAAGTGAAAAAACGGATGAAAAAGGATAGGATACAAAAGGTTCATAATGAAGAACAGGACATGAAAATGACCCAAGAAAATATCTCAATAGCAACAAATGAGAAAAATCTTATGATTTCTAAATGCAATCAGATGAGTAGCAGGAAGATACATTACTGACACAGGAATTGCTAAAAAGCCCATTTTTTCACAATGTCTTCTTTTCGAAAAAATGAACTTCATAAAACTTTATATTATACGTGTAATAAGGGTAATATTTTTTAAATTAATAGTGGGATTTCCATGTTGAACCTGCATATTTACTTTTGCTATTTCCCAAATCCCATTAAAATGACAGAAAAGGGCTTGTAAAAAATGGTCTAAAGCATAAGGACAAGGACAACAGGAAAAAGATTAGAAGAGCAATAACAAGAAAATTTTAAGAGAATGATAAAGAAATGGGTAGGTATTACCTGATTTAGCAAACTTGAGAAAACTGAAAACAAAATGTTGGCAAGGAGGAGGAATAAGAAGCATGTCTAGGTATGACTTGACACCATTAAAAGGGCTTAAGAATTCTATATTTGAAAGAGACGCTTAGACCCAGCTTCTCAAATGGCCAAGAAACTAAACCTTCACCACTAACAAGAAATTGGAGGTTTATTTTCTGGTGAGATTGAAGCAACGGATTATGAATTCTAACAATCCATGCACAGTGAACAGAGGGGTGTCTGTAAAAACAAATAAATTAACTGAATATCTAGTAGCTGTAGACTCCCAACCTACCCCAGGGTCCGCCTACATTTGCCTTAAAGAACATGGCAGCTAGGTTTATATCCCCCAAGTAGGTAGGAGATGAGAATGTACTCCCCTCTGTAGAAATTGACCTCCCAAGAAAAAAAGATCTATAGGTACCTAGTAAAATGATAGGGGTCTATGCCTTAAATCCTACTATGAAGCCCATCTCTCAAAAAAACTACACTCATATAAACAGTTTCTAATTTTTTAGGTAAATATGAACAAGAATCCAAGCACCATCACACATTTGAAGGAAGCCTTTAATAGAGACCAAAATAAATATACAGAAAAAATTAAAAAATAGTATTCACAAAGAAATAGAAGATCTTTGCATCCATCAAATAAGAACAATGCTACAAAACTAATAAACACATAAAACCCAATAGAAGAGATGGAAAATAAGGCTGCAGAAACTCCCTAGAAGATAGAACAAAAGATGAGGAGAAAATAAAAGTTAAGAAAACTATGGGATCAAACTAAGAGGTCCATGTAGATAATGGGAGGAAATTATCAAAGAAACAATGCAAGGAATTTTGCCAGAACTGATGAAAATTCCATATTCAAAGAGCCTGGTGAATGCTCAGCAAACTGAATTAAAGAAAAAAAAAAGGTAAAAGTCTTCAGAAAGTTGGACACAACACTGATATATCATGATTATTGAAGTTAAGACACTGTATATACTAAATTATAAATGGCCCACTTGCCCCTCAAAAAGTTGTTCCTTTAAGCAATAAAATATATGACTTTAAAATATAAGATTTTGTTTTTCTACATTCACATCTTAAATTTCCCTTCATCAATTTTCAGTAACTGAGAAATCATAAACTTAAAAAGCTCCTTAAGCAGTTACAGTTTATAAGGTAACAATAATAATAACAGCTATAATCTATTGAACATTTACTATGTGACATTATAAGATCATATTATTCACACAAACTAAGGCACAGAGAGGTCAAGTAAAACCAAGATCACAGAACTGTTAGTGGCAGAATAGGATTCTAATCCAGACTACCTGACTCTAGAGCTCACCCCGCCCCCCCCCGACCACTATGTTACGTGGCTTCTCATTCAGCACAATGTTGCTGTAAAAAGCAACATAGTGAATAACTGAGCTGAGGCAACTGCAGTTTAAATTTCAAAGTATATTTGTTAATATACTTCTGCTACATAAGGATATGCCTGAAAGCAATTTGCTATCTGTGACAACCAAACTTTCTATAATTTGATACATAGTAGCCCATACTTTCATAAAAATACATTTCTCAAATCAGTAATAAAAGATGATTATCACAGGGATTTTTCATCCTACAGATACCCTGGTGAGAAAATCCTGGGGCATCTAAAACTTTATTCTAGCAAGATCAATGTCTGATCATGTCTGATCAATGTTGTGTACAAACCAGAATAAAATAACCAATAGGCATCTCATTCACCAACTCATGATCAGTTGTTGGTTTGTTTGGCCATCAATGTTGACATGGCATGGCACTATAAATCATTATATACATGGCAAGAATTATTATCATTTCACAGATTAATCAGTTCTTTTCTATTTTTGTTAATGGTGCTATAATTATTTGATCTAATCTTACTGAGAATTCCTCTATCTCTTTCTCTACCCCAGAGAAAAATTCTCTTTTTGTCTCTTCCCTACTCATACATCTCCAATTATTTCCCACTGTGCAGTAAACAATATCCAAATTCCTCAAGGTTATAGGGTCAAACTATTTTTCACACTTTTACTTACTCTACTGTACTCACCCAGACCCCAACCAAGTGGAACTGCTTATCCTTCCTTAATCATGCTCAATACATTTATTCATGCCTTCCATCTTATGTCTCCAGGAAGCATATTGTACCGGTTAAAAATATAGGCTCTAAAATTAGTTCTGAATTTTTGACTTGCCTACTTATTAGCCTACTTATTAGGGTGATTTTCATCAGATGTGACCACTGTCAGCCCCACTTGCCTTATCTGCACAATGTAAAATAATATGGCAGGACTCCTCTCAGATTTTTTTCCTGATAATTAAATGAGGTAATAAACATGAAGTGCTTGAAACATAATAAAGTTTTAACAAATATTAACTATGATTTTAGCTATTATCTTCCTATAATCACACTGATCCCTCTAAATACAGTTCAGATTTCACTTCTTTCCAGATTTCCCACAAAGAGAAATGATGTGGCTCTTTTGTAAATGTCTATAGCCCTTTGTGTTTGAGTATTATGATATTTCACATATACATTGAGATGATAGATGGCATAGTGGCAAAAACAAGTGTCTATGAAGTCAGATAGATACATATTTAAATCCTGTCTCTGCCATTTCCAAGCTGTGTGACTTCAAGCAAATCATATAATCTTATTAATCTTAGTTTCCTTATCTGAAAAGTAGGAAAAATAGTAATTCCTCCTTGATAGGGTTGTATGAGGATAAAAGTAATTGCATGACAGTGATTAGCAAATAAAAAATAATAAATACATATTGCTATTTTTATTATTATCTTTATCCTGAGATACACACACACGCACACACACACACAAACCCCAGCTTATTTATCCTAGTCAATTGTGAGTTATTTGAAAGCAAACATTGTCTTACATTTGTATCTCTTACAATGGGTATGCATAATAGAATTTAATAATTATTTATTGAATGAATTATCAGTGAATTTCAAACTATCATTTTCATTTAACTACCTAGAAAATTTTACTAATATTAAGGGGTATATGTAATTGCATCACAAATCTCGTTATAGTTACTTTGGTTTTATTTTATATTAACCATTACCAGCAGCATTAGCAGAAATAACAAAATTTATCAGTGGTTTAGTACTGCCCCCTAAAGACAGTATATAAATTAACTGTGTAAAACAATTTTCCGCTTGCTGCTTTACAATTTAATATGCCTGGAAAAGATTTTTATCAAGCTAAATATAATCTTCAATTATTTATTAAAAAAAACCCATAAACACACTTAAACTTGGGAGCTTCCTTTATTTCAAATACCTTTGAATATTTTTATTGGAGATCCAACTGTGTTCCTAAAGTTCCAGAAATTCCTCCATGAAATATAGACCTAAATTGTCATGGTTTGAGCCTATTATCTTTCCTGTTTAATACACAGTAATTATGTTGATGAAAGATTGGACCAGTTCTACATTGTCACAAAGGACCAAACTCACAATACATAAATACCATGGGAAGACAAATTTGAACTCAAAGAAAAATACTTCTGGAACAATTATTTCAGTCTAACATTAAAGAAATGTGATTTCTTGGTGAGGATATGTATTCATAGATATATATATATATATCATATTTTTTAATTGTGGCATAAACATAATAATGTACTAAATATCTGTAATGATGCTTTATAGTTTAAAAAATGATTTCAGATATAGAATAGTCCAATAAAGTAGGGTAGGGACCATCCCTATTTTACAAGTGAAGAAGCTGATGCTCTTGCAACGTTATTCAATTTGCAAGATCATCCTACAAATGAGGCTAGATTATAATCCAAGTCCTTTGACTCTAGGTGTTATAATCTTTCTTCCACACCATGGAACCAAGCTCCTAATTAGTAGAGCTCTTCAAAGGTACAAGAGATATTCAATTCAAGATGTTCAGAATATCCACAAAGAAATTTCTTTGTTATGTGACAGTTTGTAATTGATGACCTTTAAATTATTTTTTAACTCTAAAATTCTATAAATCTATGCAGTTAAAATATAGGATTAAGGGCCAGTTATGATCTCATAGAGACCTTTAAATCCTTATCAGTCAACTCTCTAAAGCATGTCTTTATAAACATGGTGGTGAGAGGGGGAGGGAAAGGTCAAGGATATCCATGTCCTGTCCAAATGTTCCTGGAGGAGATCTTAAGGGCTCGACTTAGCCAGAATATAGGACAGCGGTATGTGTGTGGGGAAATGGGATGATGGAATAGACCAGACTCATCCTACAAGAAATACACATTATCTCCAAATTACACAACTAATCCCATTACACAAGTGACCTTATA